GCACACTGTAAACAGATATACTGCTGCTGTACTAACACACTCTTGGGAAATACTACCAGCTGCATAGATCAATGCTAAGTTTTACGTAGGCATTTCCCCCCCCAAAAAGTACATTACTTTTCTAGAGTGCATAACAAAGGGAAAAATGGAGATTCCTGCTAGGATATGGTCTTAATGCTGTTGTAATTTTACCTGTTGTATGTCTTGTGTATTATAATGTAACTTGTAAAGTATTTAAACTATGTATTTAATGAGGCTGGAATAGGAAACTTCTGTTCAGTGTGTCAGTTAAGGTTGTTGTCACCTTAACTACATTTGGGGGTTCTTAAAGCTGCAATGTTAACATCACTCTGACATTCTGAGGGATTTAATGTTTATTTGTCTGGCATAAATACCTAATATAAGCAGAATGCCTGTTATACCTGCCTGCTACTTACTATGCAGCTTGTACTCGTCATGCCCTAAACTGCTATCTTCCTGTCTTCCCAGCTACCATCAGGCTCAGGCAGCGGTGCTGACTGCTTTGCCTCAACTACATCACCTCAAAGTTCCCACCAGGAGGCCAGATGATTACTTTGCAGAGATGGCTAAAACTGACCAACAAATGCAGAAGGTATGAAGTCGAGAATGATTTTTCCTTCCTTTGTATGCTACACGGAGGGCCTAGACATCTTGGTACAAACTTTGATTCATCTTAGTATTTAGTCAGTGATATATGGTCAGAACTCAGTTGTTGAGAGGACCTGTAGTCCATCTCATTCAGCTGCATAGCTTTGACAATGGCCTGTGTCAGAGGCTTCAGGTAGACAGTGAGAGAATGCTATGTAGTGGTGTGTCATGAAATAGCCCACCCATAGGGGAAGTGTCTTCCTAATGCCTGTCCGTGGTGGGCCTGTGCCTGGAAGCAGGAAGGTTTTATATCTTGGCACAGGGGTGTCAAAGATCTGGCCCACAGAGTCATATCATTTGGCCTGCAGTGCTGCCTGCCTACATGCAGCACATCCTGGCCCTGTGCACTGAGCCTGTCTGGTGCAGGCTGCAGTATGGGACATGTGCTGCATATAACACTAGCACTGGGGCTGGTCCAGATCAGGGCCACAGACCAGCCTCCTGTGTCAGATCCAGTGTGCAGGGCTGGTTCAGTGCAGGCACCACTTGCAGCATGTGCCCCAGACTGGCCTCATGTGCTATGTGTAGTGTGCATCTCAGACTGGTCCCACACACTGTCATACACGGGGCCAGGGCCAGCACATGTTGCGTGTGGCATGGGGGACAGAAGCTGATATGTTGCAATCACCATGCATGACCAGTCCAGGGCACAGGCTGCATGCAGCACCCACACCAGACCAGGCTAGTGGCTGCATCCCACAGACTGGTCCCACACCCAGGCTGGATGAGTTTGACACCCCTGCCTTAAGGAAGTGTTGACCATATGACTGAATATCTGTTACTCATGTAAATGGCACCCTGCCCAGCTATAGCTTCAGGCCTATAAGATATACTGACATTGAGTTCCACATCCTGCTATGCATTGCACGGAAGGTATTTCCACTGTTTAAAACAAACACATTGCCTTTTTACTCACTGAATGGTTGGATAACCTGTATTGTATTCACCAACACTCAGGACCCTCTCTTTAGACGACAGCTTTGCCAGGGGAAAGAGATGGAAGTAATATTTTTTCCATAACAGCTGCTGTCTTACTGTTAGCTGGACATTCTTATCCATTTAATTATGAATCCTTCTAAACTTGTGCTTTCTGCTTTGTTGCAGCAAGTGCCACAGGCCAGCTACATGCTGTGCAGTTAGAAAAGACATTCCTTTAACAGTGTGAACATTGTGATCTTTCAGTTTCATTAAATGTCTCATTGTTCTTCAGTGGAAGTATCAGGTACCAGGTGAGACTTACATGTGAAGGAAACAAGTTTCATAGGGTCTGGCCCTTGTTTATGGAACTCATTTCTGCAAATACATAGGATAAGCGCTCTCCCTGTGCTCCTTTTGGCCTTAAATAGATGGTATATTTAAATTAGATTCTCTAATTGGTTCAGTCAGTGTTTGTATATAACAAGGTAACAGGTATACTCCTACTTTTGTTTGGCAGGCAATCTTAAAAATGTTAATGGACTTAAAGTGCACGTATAATGAATGTAGATGGGCTGTTATGGATGTTGTAATCTTGGTCCAAAATTGGACCTTGTATTTTCCTTGTCCTACAGAGGAATGACTAAGTTAGGTCAGATATTTGAAGCTAGAGTCTGACTGGGGAAAGGAAGAGAAAATGGTGTTTATGTTATAAGACTTAATGTGTGTGGTCAATGAGGCACAGGTCTTTTCTTAGTATTTTGATGGCCTGGCAGTATCTTCCTGAAGCCCTGATCATTGGTCTTGGGGAACAGCAGTGTCATTGTGTAGATGAGTTGTTTCTTACTGTCACTGCTACCTTTTCCCTTGTGAACAGCAAAGCTTTCCTTGTGCCTCACCATGTATTTTACAGGGATTTCCCTATAAATCTGTGTTGGAATCTCTCTGAACTTTGGATTCATTGAAAATTGCATCATTAACTAAAACCAGGAAGCTTGTCATTGCTTGAGGATGGGGAGGAAGGGGTTTCCAGCACTTCTGCAATGAGCATACTCAACTTGAGTTATTCACCCTAATGGAAAGCAAGGAAGGTGTACTGCATATAGCACTGTGGCACTTTGTCTAGGTGGTAGCCTTAGAAGGCTCCTAGGTATTTTATAAATATTGTACAACTTAAACTCTAACTACATATTTTTAGGAGCAGTGCTATTCTTTTGGCTCCCTCTGCATAAGTCTTGTTGTTTATTTTCCTAATTAGATCCGACAGAAGCTTAGGAGTAAACAGGCAGCAATGGAGAAGTCTGAGAAAGCAAAGCAGCTCCGTGCACTGAGGAAATATGGCAAAAAGGTGAGAGAAGAATCTGATAGAGCAAGGTCTTACTCTTAGTGTGGCAAGACTCTGGCACCTTTGGATGCAGAGTTCAGAAGATGAAACTTTGTGGGCAGGGATTCCCCACTCCTGACTAGGGAGGCTGATGGGAAAGACCCAAGACAGGAGCAGTTCCCAGCTGCTGCTTGGATGGGGAGAGAGGGAGAGCACTTGGAAAGTGAAGCCCTCACGGGGAGTGTTGGATGTACAGGAGGGAGCAAAGCTTGTATTTGGTCTCTTATTGCAGGTGCAAATAGAGGTTCTACAGAAGAGGCAGAAGGAGAAAGCAACAATGCTGAATGCAGTCAAGAAATACCAGAAAGGTGAAACCATGGATCTTTAGAAGGTTGGGGGAGTGGGGACAGTCGGACAGGAGAGAACAGAGGGTGCTGTGCATGCAGGTTGTTACTGATCAGCACTGGAGGATGAGCTGAACGATGGTGTCATTGAATGGGGAGGGCCACAGGTTATCTGCAGCAGCACAATGGCTTCCATGTTCAGAGAGGCTAACACTGTTTTTGTCTGAAGCTGTGACTTGTTCACACTGGAAACTCCTCTGTGCCTTGCTTAGTGATAGCAGCTACACAGCCACTCTGCTCTTATTTCTACAGGCCTCTCTGACAAGTTGGATTTCCTAGATGGAGAGCATCCACCACCTCGGGGGAAGAAGGAAGGAGCTGGAGGTCAAAGAGTAAAGAAAGGGTATGATTGGAGGTGGGGGGGAGGGGTGCATCAGGGATCTGTAGCTGCCCAGTCTTGTGTGGAAGTGCTTTGCAGGGGAGTGCTCAGCCCAGTTATTTTCTGGGATGGGGGCACTGAAGAAGCCAGAAGAGTCATTTTTCTGTTCTGTGCTCCCTAGGGAGACATTACTGCTTCCATCCTTTCCTTATGCGGGGGAGAAGCTAGTTATGGACTGGATGGAGCAGTGCGTTGAGTGAATTTTGGGGGTTTTTTCAGTGAGAAGACATAGGACATCTGAAAATGACATCTAGGATGTGGAGAGAGGTAGTTAGCCATGTTAGTCAGGTTAGTTTATCCAGGGTGTGGCCGTGCTGCCAGGAGTGAGCTGATAGGAAGCTTCTCCACAGATCCTGTGTGCCTTTTGGGACCTGGTGAAGAGGGGCTCTGTCAATGACTAGCTGTTTCTGTTTCAGGCCAAACGCCAAGCGACGCTACAAGAACCAGAAGTTTGGGTTTGGTGGTAAGAAAAAAGGCTCAAAGTGGAACACGCGTGAGAGTCATGACGATGTGTCCAGCTTCCGGGCAAAGGTGGCCCATAACAAGGTCCCTGGGAAAGCTGGGAAGAAGGGCTTCAATGTGAGTGAGAAATGTGCTGTGGACTAACAGCCCAGGGGTGGGGAGGGAGGGCAGGACTGGGCCCAAGCTGCACAGGGAGAGCTGTGTCTGCTGTGGGACTGGTACCTAAATGCTGGATGTGGGAAGATAGGCTGCACATCTTGGGGCTGATCTTCACTGGTTGTGGACAAGGCTGCCCAGGCAGGAAGGACAAGTTCTGTGGCCAAGAAGATCCTGTGGGTGCCTGAGCATGTGGAGTGTTTATCCTACCCTGTTGTTGGTTGCCCCCCTCCCTCTTATGCTGCATTGCTGTTAGCAAGTTTTGGGGGCACAGCCAGCAATCTGAACTTGTCTGCTCTCTCTCCTCTCTTACAGAAGAGACCTGGCAAAAAGATGAGGCAGAAAATGAAGAGCCGAGCAGGATAGACGCTGCTTCCCAGCAGGGAATGTTTATCTTGCTGCATAGGAGTGCAGATAGCACTCTTCTTGAAGCACTGAAGTGCAAGATGGGGAACACTGTCTGTTTCTTTCAAGGATTCTTTTTTTCTTCTACTTAAGCCTTTAGCCTGGCATTGGTGAGCTCATTAAAGAGTTTGCACAGAACTCTTCTGGATTCCACTGCATCTTCAGTTTGTTGTAGGAGGGACTTGAAACCTACTCCCATTGTTCTCTTTAAGCCATCTCTTCCCACAGCTGCCCCTTATCAGTGCCTGGAATCCTCTGGGTTAAACAGGAAATGCTGCCTAGTGTGGTGACAAAAAGGGCAGTCCCTTTCAGGTTCTTAGTATAGCCACTCTTGGGTGGGAACATTAAGTGACAAATGTTACACTTCTAAACAGATTTATTTTGTAACCATAATCAACTTACAGGTCTGGCCAGACAAGGATTCCTCCCTTGTCCTCCTTCCCAGAAATCAGTAGGACTACACATGGCACAAGGAGGCAGAACATTGTGTGGAAACTCCAGTCAGCACCCACCTGCCTGCCTAGCAAAGCAGTGCTTGTACTATCGCCCTACTGCATATTTTCACTCTGCTCCTTCAGGCGCCACGTGGCTTCCATATACTTGGTGATCTCGCTCTTCTGGCGTGGGAAGTAGAGCCTGCGGTCAGTGCGGTCCACGCTGATCTGCAGAAATGAGATGAAATCCAAGCACACACAGTCTAGTAGATGCTCCCTGCTGAAAACAAGGACCTGTAAAATCACTGGCTGCTGTTGTCTAGAGTTTTCTGAAAGTGCAGCAGGACTCTTGCCTCATTATCATAATGCTGCTTCGGGATAACAGCTGATCACCATTAGGGTAAGGAAATCAAATGTGATGAACGAAGAGCCTGCATGGCAAGTCCAAGATTTACTGGTGGATTCTACTAGGATGTGGGTGCTGGGCTTTACAAGAAAGAAACTGAAATGTTTTTGTAAACTGCACTTCAAAGTGATTCTATAAAAAATGGCATCATGGTGTCCTAGACCTCAGTTCAGATTTGCTCAGCTGTAAAGGTATCTTTTTTTTCCCTTCTAGTAACGTGGTCCTACCTTTTGAAAGTTGGGCCCACAGCTCTGGCTTGGCCTCTTCTCACTGGCCACTGACACACCTGAGGAGCACCATAACATGACATTTTTGGAGCAGGAGAACCTAGTGAGCTCTTTGCAAGAACAGACTCCCTCCCCTTAGCTATGTTTGGTTGGAAGGCTATTAGTATAAAGCAGTAGGTAGGCAACTATTTTGGCTGGAGTGCTGAAAAAACCACAATGTCTACCTTGTAAGGGTCCAGAGTGCTGGCATGCCAGAAAAACAAAAGAAGGGTAGAGGGTACATGGCAGGATGCACTGCATATTAATATAGTTAATAATCATAACTTTTCCTTTTTTCCTAGTAAATACTAGGTCTTCTAATAATTCTAAGTCTGCTGACGAATAAAATTTCATATATTATCTTTGTTCTTGTGTATTCTTTTTTTTGTTAAGCATGTTCTGACGTGAGAGCAAAAAAAGAGAAAAAGGGAAGGGGGACGGGGGAAAAAACGAGAGAAAAGAAAGAAAGGGCTGTGCCAGTTGTGATGGCTGTTTCTGGGGTCTAGGGGCCCCTGCACATGGTACCTGGCACACAGGGAGGCTAAGGCCAGACCTAGGAGCCCCCCAGAGCCCAGCCTTGAGCCCATCCTTCTGAGCTGCCCAGGTGGTGTCCCTCATGGCCAGGGCGGCTGTGGCCCATCTCCACAGAGCTGTGTGGGCCAGACCAGGCCTCGCCTTGGATGCTGCTGGGTACCCCCACCCACCCGAGCCTGTGAAGCTCCAGGGCAGCCCCTGGTTCCCGCCCAGCCCCTGCACTCCAGCTGCTGCCTTCCCAAGAGCCTGGCAGTGCCGGCCTGCCCCCTTGCTGCCTGGACCCTTCCCTGAGGGCCAAGCCCTGGTGCTGTCCCTTCCTGGCTCTGCCACCCGCACAATGACCCTCCCTAGTGCCTGCCCAAGCTCTGGCCTTGCCCACCTCACGCTGGGGCTCAGGCAGGCACTGCAGAGAGTTGCTGTGCTGGAGGCTCCCAGCCAGCTCAGCCCTGAGCAGAGGCCCAGGGGACTCCAGTGGCTCCCTTGCACTGGGGGTGGCTGTGCCCCACTCATACTGTGCCCAGCGTGCAGGGATACTAAGCCCAGAGCTGGGAGTGCCCCCCGCAAGACCTGCCCCAGCCAGGCAGCATCGCCTTGCAGGCAGGGCGGCTACAGCCCATCTCCACAAAGCTGCATGGGTTGGGCCAGGCTCCAGCCTGGGTGCCACTGGGCACCCCCCAACCACCCACTGCAGCCCAAGTCTGTGGAGCCCTGGGGCAGCCCCTACCTCCCACAGCCACCCTGCCCGTCTGCACTTGCCATCTGTGCACACCAGGCACAGCACAATCTCTAGAGCTGGGACCTGTGGCTGTTCTGGAGAACCCGAAGGAGCAACTTAAAAATGTTTTGTTTAAATAGTTTCCTTGTACACCTCCTGGCATGCCCAATTGCACATGCCACTAATTGGCATGTGTGCTGGGGGTTGCCTATCCCTGGTACAGAGGATTTAAAGGAACACTGAGGCCAGTAACACTGACCATGAAGATATGTAGGAATACGGAGTGAAGAGGATCTGGTTTTTTCCTCTGCGTATAGCTGCTCATAATTTGCCTCTTTTCAAGACCTTTATCTGCCTCTTCTACTTGCAGCGTGCATCCTTCTAGGCTCCCGTGTCTCATTTCTAAAATTCTCAGGCTTTTTGTATTATCCCTTCAGTATGTAATGCTCTCTGCTAGTCATCTCACTGTTGCATTTCCTCTTTCTTAAATTAGAAATACAAACCTACTTTTTAAGTTAAACAAAATGACCTGCCACTTGTCTAATGCATATAGCATGGAGGTGGCTAAACTCATTTTTAGTTTCCCAGTCCTCTCCCTCAAAGGACCAAACCTCTTCATTCTCTTTTGGTAAGCTCCTTTCAACCATTCCAGTTGGACCTTGTAGCACAGGGAGGAGAATCGCCAGTAGCCAGGAAGCAGTACAAGTTGACTTGCACTGTGTCAGAATCCACAGGAAGAGATTTGTCCCCCATTACTCCAAAGATTGTCCAAGTCCGGCACTTTTTGTAGGCAAGGTAAGTTAAGGGAGTGATGTTATTTAAGGTAAAAGATAAGTTAACCTGGGAGAAGGGGGCGCCCTACCCGGGAGTTGCACAAAGGTTTGGCTTTTTGGTGTCTCTCATATCCCATGAAGTAACAGCCTGGCAGTCTTGAGCAATTGAGGAAAGAGGCACAATGTGAATGCTTGATTTAATTTTGCTCACTTTTAGTTACAAGACTGATACTTGTCTAATAGAAAAAGAATTAGCACATTATATACCTTGCCACCCTTCAGCAATAGGCAGTTGCAGGGATGTCTGTTCAAGAAGTGGCTGGTTCTGGAAGGACTTAAGTCCAATGCCACTCCACTGAGTATTTACTGGTAATTTTTCCTTCTCAGTAGCAGGAACTCTTAACATCCACCTGTCAATCCTGTCTTCAGTTCTAAAACAAACTTTTTTCAATTGTACCCTCCTTTAGCTAATGGGGAGATTTAGCAAACCAGGAGTCTTCAGGGAACTTTGGTACTACATCTGCTCAATCAGCCAGCATGATTAAAACTACTGCTTTTGTAAGATGTAACTTTTTTAATAAACAGATATTCTCAAGATTATTCATTTTTTCTTGGGTGTTTTCATCATTACTTGGAAAATTCTGCCTGGGATAGATCTCAGGCTGATTATTAATTTCTTTGTTCCTTCTCACTTAATTGAAGGCTGAGGCATGGTACCACATTCTTCTACACATACTTGTAACTTTATTACCTGACAGCTGTTGCTTCTTTCTCTTGTTTCTTTAATGTATTGTGCTGGGTGGCAGTGATACAGAGTTGAATTCCATCTTTTTGATGTAGTTGCATGAACATTTTGAGACATGATGGGGAAGGGGATCCTATCATTTCTACTCTATCATGCAAATGACTCCCCCTCTGAGGATCCCTGAAGTTTTTGCTCCATGTATATTCCTCAGCCAGAGAGAGGCACTGAAGAGTTTCAGGGCCAGAGCGCAGGGTTTGAGCCCTGGGCACACCCTGTGGGAGATGTTATCTGTCAGTTCTGTGTTCCTGAGGGAGCCCTGGAACCCAGCTTGCTGGACTTGCAAAGGACTTTTTCAATTCCACCCCCCAAACACACACACCTCATCTAACCAGAACTAAGCAGAAAAAAAGTTTAATAGGCATCTCGGGCCGTACATTCCCCAGTCCCAGTACGGGAGGCCTATTTAAACGTGATTGACTACAACTCAGTTGTTGAGTTAGGGAATGCTGAGGCAAGAGACTGAGTCAGAGGGGGTATGGGCGACATTTAAACAATGGTTAAGGGTTCATCACAACATCCAGTCCATTGGAGCCCTGACCACAAATGCTGTCATACTTTTCCTGAGATGACTGGCGGAAGTCCTTCCTGCAAAGTTTATGAACACTCCAAGTAATCAATCCCCTTAAATATGTTAAAAGACTACAGTAAGATTTGAAAGTCATGCTAAGCTGAAGCTTATTCACAACAGGTAAAATACAAAACACTGATGTTGACTTCACAGTGCAAGTATAGCTAGGCCATCTGAGAAGCCCTTCCAGTATATCTTCTATATTCATAATAATTTCAAGCTGGCTCCTAGGTGTCTGGTTACTCCTAAAAACTTGATGTTTTTCCTGGTTGTTAATCAGTTTCTTGAGATGTTCCAAACCAGATAACCCCTTGTCACTGAAAAAGGTAATTCATTTAAATTGAAACTGTTTATATACCAAGATTTTCTCAGTCAATTACAGCTTGGGCCCTCTTGATTTACACAATAAAAAGAATGCTTTGAAGACGCTGGACTAAGGGCATAAGAAAGCAGTAAAGCAGCAACCAGTGTGCTTCAAGAGGGAGAAATCTCTTTGACACCATCTGCTGTTGTTCTCGAGAAGCTGAGATAAACAGATCGTCTCTTTCGGTCACCTGTTTAACCTTCAACTATTGTGCTAGGAACTTTACCTGTCAACAAACCAACCAAGTGCCTTGGAACAGTGAGATCCCAGCTCTCGCTCTCTCTTTCTCCCTCTCTCTTTTTCTTTCTAGGCATAGCTTTCTGAACCTGAATTAGTTAAGCTTGAGCTAGGTTTCCCCAAATACTCAATCAAACCAGGGTAATATTGTAATTAGGTTTTTTTGTTTTCCCTTGCATGTCTATTACTACTAGTACCATCATAACTTTCATATACTTAGCAATAAATAACGTTTATAGTCAAACTGGTGGTAACTGGTTGATTTTTTTCCTTCTCTACTTCCCCTTCCCCACTTGCTCTGCAGCAATGCTTCTTTTACCTAAGCCAAAGGTCCCTGTGAAGCCCAAATATACTGTGGGGTCCGCTCATCTAGAGGCTACCACTACTGGGACAGTTAGGGCAAAAGATTGGGACATGCTGAATGAGACACACACAAGGGGATCAGCTTGTAAAGGCTGATTGACCCGGTTTGGCTCAGATGTGCCCTAATGAACTGAATGCTGGCCCATGAACGTGTCAGCTGGACACACAGCCTGATTCAGAAGTATTCTGTTCACCTGTGTGCTTGTATCTGGCTGCATTTTATTGTTACCTTAATGAACTGATTCCCGGCATATGAGGGTGTCAGCCTGTACATGCTGATCAACCCAGTCAGGTCAGACGTGTCATGTTAACCTGTCTGCGTGTGTATGTATTTGATTGATTTGGTGGCTAGAGAAACCCAGCCCCACTGAAACTGAGTCCTGCAAGATAGCTCCATTGAGGGTGAGGACTCACAGAAGGGAGAGATACAGCTCCATACAGAAACACAAGTAACACAAGCAGCACATTGATAGAATTACAAGACCCTAGAAACGTATTCCGAATAAACGAGCACTCCCCAAAGTGACGGGCAAATCTGGTAACAGAGAGCATGGGGAGGGTGAGTAGGAAGGTGCTGTTGAGCAGGGAGTTCTGAGAGCAGTGGGGGGCAGGAGTCTTATAGCATGGTTGGTGGCCGTTATTCTTGCAGCAGTGTCTGTGCCCAGCTGCTGTTGCAAAAACAATTTCCTGGGCCAGTTTTTGTGGCCAGGGCATGGACTCCTGTGGGGTGGAGATTATTCTGGCACTGTTTTTAAGTTGGCACCCAGGGCTAGGGCTTCCTCGCCCTCCCCAAGTCATGCTACTGCCCAGGGCCTAGAATGAGCTGATCCTTTTTTATGGAACTCTGCTCACCAAGGGTGTAGTGGTCCAGCCAATTTCCTGGCTCTCTGTTTGTGGCTCCGAGTATTTCTTGATTGGCTCCAAAGCTGCATGGTGAATGAGATTCAGAAACTTGGCTGATGGATAAAAACAAAAACAACAGATGAGTACAGAGGCTAAGGGATAGTTTTAAATCAAACTAAAGAAACCAGAACAACTACGTGCGGATTGTGTATGACCCAATGGAAGAGTTTATGTTCTACTGGCATAAACAAGAGGCACTGGCTATATTTGTTTATAACTGAAAGTTGGTACTAATCGCTCTCTTTCAAAACAATTTTAGCCCGATTCTCTTAGAAGACTGGGGCCATCCATAGTCAACTGATACATGCAAGTGCTTGCAGGGGTTTCTAGTACGCTGTTGGCTACTGCCACTTCCAGGCAGATGTGAGCCTGTCTTTACCATGTTCATGTTCGAACGTTTTGGTAAGTCGCCAACACGTGCCAAGGAAATATAGCAATGGGGGCAGGGGACTTTTACCAGTTTACATCTTGGTATTAAGCTGGAGTAGGTTTTGCAGGACCAAGAACAAGGAGTTGTGGAGAACAAGGGATTATGTAAAAAGCCTGTGATAAACAAGGACAGCTTCCTAGAGAAAAGACCACAGGAATACATAATGCTTTTCAATACAGGGCAGCCCGAGTATAGGGCTTGCTGCTTCTGTACTGGTCAAGTCGATTAAAAAGGCCTGTTAAACACGGCAGTTATATAAGCAATTAGAACCGGAGACGGCAGGGCTCAGGCTGCACGAGGGCACCCGCACTCCGCTCTCGCGCGCTAGCCTGGACGCACGCAAGCCGCGGCTTAATCAGAGCAACGGATTACGAGCGGAGGAAGCTGCGCATGCGCTCAGCCGCCGGGTCAGGCCGGGCGCGCGGCCGCGCTAGCGGTTCACCGCAGCTCGGGAGGGCGGGGAGCTGCACGGAGCAGCCCGCACGGCGCCGGGCGCTTCGCCAGCCGGCGGGGGCCCGCCGCAGGGACCGCCCCGGAGCGCGGGGCCCCCC